GAAGCGGGGGCTTCTTACCGTCGGTGCTAAGAATGTCAGAAGAATCCAAGCCATACGCGCCGCCAATGGTGGAAGGCGTCGAGAATGTCCGGGGTGGAGGACCGCATCGTCTTGAGCGAGCTCGACCACCGCCCGACCGCGCAGGACACTGACGACAGACCCGTACACGACGCTTGAAATGTCCTTGTAGAACGGAGCAAGCTGCTCTGGGTAGATGCGAAGCGAGTTGCCGGACGAGGGCATGGTGCAGACAGAAGAAAGAGGAATTGAGCTACTGAGCTACGGCCTGCCAATTTGCGGAATGGCATGAGCGGGACCGCTCTGCTGCTTGCTTTGCTGCTTGGACTTTTGTTCCTCTACTCTTCTGATACTGCTCGACCTATCGCGCGGAACACCTCTTTCTCTTCTTGAAAATGGCCCAATGGGAGATATGGTAAATTAGAAATTGCGCGGTTTGAGAAATACGCGATGGTACATTCAAGTAAAGATTAATAGACATATTGTACATGTCGACCCGATATTACTTGGGCGTTTCTTCGCAGTCGACTTGTTAACACGGTCTGCGCCGGACGAGCCATCGTTGTTGACACACGTCCCCCTTGGTCCAAGGCGGAAGAATCGGTGCGGGCTCATGTCGGGTGTTGTAAATAGCGTTTGTAGAGCCGCGTCGCTGTACGAGACGCCGTGACGCGCAGCTCGTCGACAAGGTACGCGATGCACGCATGGCTCTGCATGAGACACGCCTGCTGCAGTGCCGTGTCGAGCATTCTGTCCGCACCTGGTCGATTGCAGAGCCACTTGAGAATGTCCACGTGATCGGTCTCGACTGCAGTCAAGAGGGCCTCGCGGACACTGGCTTCGTCGCGGTGCGTCAACACAAAGGCGACCATATCGACGCGGCCGCTGTGCACGGCGGCCCAGATCGTCTTTTCGGTGAATCCGGGGTAGCCATGTTCGTGGTAGAACTGCACGACTGCGACATGCCCTCCGAGTGTGGCGTCGTAGACGTACCGGGGAAGGTGTCCGTCCAGCTCGTGCGCGTGTGCGTACCGGGCAACATTCACGTGGCCAAAGTAGCTGCACCGATGCCACACTTTCTCCATCGTAAAGCCAAGGCCGTCCAAGAACTTGAGGAGCTCGACGTGACCCGACTCGGCGGCGTATGCGACGCAATCGGCATAGACCACCGAGTGCCCAACGAGCTGATGCGTCGAGAGAACGCACCGATGTGCCGTCTCGCAGAGGAGCTCGAGCCGCTGACTTGGTGCGAGGCGCGGGCTCAGCCAGCGGATGACCTCCGTGTTGCCGTAGGTGATGGCGTAGGCAAAGAGGTGTGGGAGGCACAAAAGGTGCAAATCACGCTTGCCATGACGAGCCCACCACGCTGTAAACAGCGAATGGTACGCTGCGTACGAAGCCATCTCGGGCACTTGATGCGGCGTCGTCTCGTAGATCGCGTGGCGGTGGCATAGCTGGCGAAGACCGATTGTGTGCATGTCATGGCCGGGTTGGTACGACGTGACGAGGCCAAGAAGCTCCTTGGACAAGAGAACGGACGAGATGCGTTGCTGGCGCAGGACCTTGGAGAGTTCACCGCGGAGGCACTGGACAGCGGCTTGCGCACAGCAGTACGTGGCGACCTCCAACGCGCCAGCCAAAATGGACGTGCGTCGGGCTGCTGACAGAGCCACTGGACAAGCTCTAGGCGGCGGTACTGAATGGCGTCACTCAAAGCAGTCTTGAGCGAAAGCTCCTCCAGATGAGGATGTGTGAGGAGCGCTTGCACTGTCTGTAGGTCGCCGTGCCGGACGGCCAGCGCAAGTGTGTGCGAGTTCACGCCATCGACACGCAGCGTGTTGAAGTATCGCACGAGCTCGAAATGACCGTTCTCAGCAGCAACGTTTACGAGCGCATTGGTCCAACCGCCAAGGCGATGCTCGACGACAAAGCGAGCGACGTCGAGATGACCACCAGAGCAGACGGCGCGCCAGACGTCGACCATGTCAAAGCCACAGGCAAAGAGGAAGCGCAAGAGCCCTACATGCCCCTTTGTCGCAGCGCGGCGCACGCAGTCGGAGGCGCGGATCGCCATTGCGGGCCCGAGCTGCTCGGTAGCACAAGGACACGCGTGACACCCAACTGCATGGAGAACAAGCGTTGCCTTGTTCCAGAACACAACCTCGCGGTGGACGAGCCACTGAAGAGCATGGACGTCGCCGCAACGAAGCGCGTACGCAAAGAGATGCGGCACGCAGAGGAATGGAAGTGTGGCGGTGCCATGGCGCGCGAGCCAGCGCTGGAAATTGGCCGCGTCCGCTGCCTCGTGGTCGTCGTCGGCTTGCTGTTCATCGCCGTAGATGGCTGCAAGCCGGACGCTGCGGCAGCGCAGTGGTCCATCAGCAGACAGCGCGTCGCTCTGGTAGCTGCAGATGCGCGGAAGCAAGCGGCTCGAGCAGAGCACGTGCGCCGCGACGTTGTGCATGCCACTGCTCACCAAATTCCGTGGACCAAACGTTTAAAACATGTTTTGTACCGAAAGGAATGTGTATCAAACACCTGATGTTTTCAAAATGAAATTCTTGATCATGTTGAGCAAATTTGGTCAACATGACAGGATTGAATCCTGTCGCGAGGTCCAGCGCTGCAGCTACAACCCTATTACATCTGATCCTTGCAAAGCGACATGTAGCTGCATAGCTCCGACGTAGGCAGTAGCCAACCATCCCCGACAGAGCGACCAATACCTACACCTTGAACCACGGTAGCTGCCTAGCCGGAATTGGCTCGCAGAGACTTGGACAAATGGAACGACATGCATCATGATTAAGGATAGTAATCGTCGCTGGCTTATCGTGCGGATTGCTACGCGATGCGACTCGACACGACCAACGTGTTGTACAGCCACGTCAGGGTGCATCGCGACAGCCTTGAAGAGACCATCCAACGCCTTGACGTCCTGGAGCCGTTGGTCGCCAAGCTCGACCCGCAGCGGCCGCCGAGGCGTCGTGACAGTGAGCGCCGTCGCGAGCTCGCGCATGCAGAGGTCGTTGCCGTCGACTTGTGTAAAGTGCACAGAGCGGACGCCAGCGTCGATCCAGCGCCGGAACGCGCGTCCGACATGGCGCATCTCACGACCACAAAACGACGACCAAAAGCCCCACGTGACCGACTCGAGACAGACCGACGTGCTGATCCAATCGAGCAGCGCAAGGCGTGTGCGAGACGACGCCTCAAAGGTGTTGAGCGTCACGACGCGCAGAGAGGACGGACTCGCAGCCTGCTTGACGGCAGACGCGTCCGCGAGGCTCGTGCACACGAGCGAGAGCTCTTCGAGACGGGGCAGTCGCGGCAGCACCGCTGCGAGGCAGCTGCTGTCGCCAAACTCAAACACTCCAAGGTCGAGGTGCGTCATCACAGAGAGGTCGAGACGGTGCAAGAGCTTGTGCAGTCCGTCGATCGACGACGTTCGAACGCGGAGACGCGTCCACGGGCGTGACAGTCGAGGTCCCGAGGCGAGGCTGCTAATGATACCGTCGGCGAGGATAAAATCGAGGCTTTGCAGCGTCGGTGTCGCCGCGAGCGCGGCCGCCAGCGCGTCATCGTCTTCCGACTCAAATCGCCACAGCGACAAATGGATCGCATGCCCCGACCGCAGCCACGGTCCAAGTAGCGCGACGCCGTCGTCAACGTCAAAGCAGTCGCCGTCGTCCGCAAACAAGTCGAGTCGGCGGACGTGGTGCGCTGGCGTTGTGATCGCGCGAATGATCCGCTCTGGCTTGTCGAGCGGGTGCACTTCAACGTGGTCGAGACCCGTGCACAACTGGAGCACGCTGCCCAGCATGCCCGTTCCGCCACTAAGCTCTTCGCTCGACAGCGTGACGGACACGATCTTGTGTCCCCACTGCGCCGCAAACCCGAGAAGGTCCATGGTCGGTCCAGAGCGGGTCGCAAGGTGTTGCTGGAATGCGACGAGGTCGCCGACCCGGATCGTCGGGAAGGATGGCATCGCGGCCAGTACGAGATCCATCATGACCGTGTCCATCCCGTCGGCGAGGCAGGGCTGCGGCCAGAGCGGAGGCTGCTCGCCGTGTGCAGCCAGAAGCTCACGAAGTGCTGCGAGCGGCGTCGGAAGCGCATGAAGCGGGAGGACCCGTAGGAAGACAGCGACGTCCGCGGGCGAGGTTATGCACTGGACGAGGCGGACGAGGGCGTCGGGGCTCATGGCCAGGAACGAGGTATCGGTCATCTTCTGCATCTTCGGTGCTTCAGCTGGACGAGGCGAATTGGGATTTGCCGGTTGCATTGCAAAATTTCGAATGGACTCAAACTTAAGACTCAAAATCGCCAACGACAACTTCAACGTGGCAAGCATGCGCTGCACTATTATATGGCAAAGGACGTTGATTCTAGACAGTCCAGAGACATCGAGGTCCCACTCGAGTCTATGTAGCGAATGCCTACGTGACGGCTAGGGACAGTGCATTGGTCCATTCATGTCGTGTCGTGGGGCCCGTTCTCGCTTTTGGTACCAAAAACTTCAACTCAAAACTCAAAACTCAAAATGGTGGATGCCGTTGGTTATCCGGATAATTCCGGCGCCAAAGAGATCTTTTCAAGAAGGCTGAATGTGGGATGTCTTCGGCTGGACCATAACGTCGCCAGCATGCAACTATTGGCACGTTTCTGCTACTCGTGTATCTCATTTGACGCGGACAGGGTCGAGATATATGGGAGCACAAGCTCGAGGCTCACGTTACACCCAACTATGTCGGCCTTGATCAATTGTACTAGGACTGCAGAGACCGTCGGTTCACAATTACTTGCTCCCACGCGTTCTGTCGGTATCAAGAGCTCGGACTAACTCAAGTCGAGACACTCATTCTTCAACGAGGTCGAAGGCGTCAAATGTCAATCGACAGGTTGTGAGCATCTCGCTCAAGATCCAAGGGGAAGCGCGTTTACGTCTGCGCTCCCACCGTGAACTGCCACAACGACGACAAGCGCCGACACGAGCATCGGCGTGCGGTCCGCTGCATCGGTACGAAAGACGTCGTCCAAGGCCCAGCACCGGCGCACAACGTAGAGACTTGTAATCTCCTTTTCTCGCTGGCTCGCCGAGCGCTCGTCCGAGGTCCATCTCGAGGTTGTCACGGCGGTGCGCCTCGTCTCCCGTCAAGCTAGTATCGATGTAGTGTGGTTCTGGAGGCGCATTGACTCATGTCGCTTCTCGAACGCTGAGCACGAGGGCGCCATCATGACAGGCCCCACAGTTTCTGTGCAGCTTCGCCTGCCCCGTCGAGTGACTTCGAACCGCCCGTCATCCCAAGTGGCGACGGTAATCACACCATCACTTCCGCATAGCGCGCGACCGAGAGGTATATAAAATGCTCTTCTCCCCAACGACACCATCAAGTAGTGTATTTGCTGTTTGGATTCTAGGTTCAACCTCGGGGTCGCTTTACGAGGCATCATCGCTCATTGGGGTGGTGTCGAGGGCCGTGGTACTGTCAACGGCGTAGAGCACGCCGTTGCTGATGTAGAGAGCCGTCCACGGGATCGTGTTCGTGATGGGCGCCAACCACGTCAAGGTCGACGCAGCCGTGGAGCAGACGATCGCCTTGTTCGGGTTGATGCCGTCGAACGCGATCTGGCGGAGCGTGATGGCCGCGATCGCCGTCCACTTTCATTTGTTCTTTTAAGATAGCGTTGATGCTGGTGTAATACACGACGCCCGCGTTGTCGTCGATGTAGAGAATGTCGCCAAAGAGAGCGATGTCGGCTGAGAACGTTGCACGATTATTCTTTTGTCCGGACGTGGCGCACATCCCAGACATGTAGTCGTTTCTAGGGGCCTTGACAAGCACGCAGTAGGGGGTGCCATCCGTTGCATGGCAACCCCACTTGATACCGTCAAACCACATCAAGGACTTCCAGTAGGCATCTATGGTTGGCATCCAGGGCAGTCGATGCCACTGGCTCAGAGACGCCACGTAACCGTAACCGTAACCGCTCGGCGCACATCGTGGTCTATCGGGGTTGCTGAACTAGCATAAATACTGGGTTATTGCCATTTTACGTGTACTTCAAGGTCCTTCGCTTGCTCAACCTCCAGCTCAAAAATCTTCTTCCTTGGAATCCTACCGTATATATATTGACCAAGTCGTGCATATCCAGGATATGGAAAGTCCAAATGCATATATTGTATCTACGCAGGATCGCTTAAGATCGCACCCTTTCGAAATGATAGAAGCGTTTCACATCTGGCTCATTGGAGACCGCTGCTCAGACCGCAGCCACCGTCGAGGAGCCGACAAGCATGAGCGTAGGCGACGACTCGATGGTTGGTATCATCGCGTCTGCGATTAGGACCTCGGTCGGGATCTATACGTGTCCGCATCGAGCGGAAACGCGGCACGCGTGGCCTTCCTCATACAAGAAGGTGCCAACGTCAACTGGAAAATCAAGGTAGTGCAGATGTGTGTGTGGATATTGGTGTAGCAATGTCTAGAATGGAACGACACCCCTCTACATTGCGGCGATGCGGGGCCGAGAAGAAGTTGTCAGACTTCTTCTGCAAGCCGGTGCCGATCCCCACGCTATTTGCGTACGTTCCAACTTGGTGTTGAGATAATCATCTCATACAATCCATATGTCTAGAACAACGAGACAGCGTACACGGCAGCGTATCGTAACAGCTACTTCAGCACAGCCGACCATATCAAGACGGCCATGGATCGTTGTCCTCGGCCCAGTGAATTCGTCTTCGCCGACGTGGCTGCCGCACAGCAGAACAACAGCAATCGCGCGCAACTGGTACGCCGTTGCGTTTGTGGCCGCGTCTGCAACGCTGACTAGGAGGGCCTCGGGGTCTGCCTGTCCAAGGCAGCGCTGCTCGGAGATGTGGGCCAAGTGCGAGAGCTGCTCGGCCAGGGCGCCAATGTCCATTGGCTCAACTCGGTAACCGCCGCGGCAACGACGACGGCTGACGACCACACGCTCTAGCACGAGTGCACGCCGCTCTTCGCCGCCGCTATCAACGACCACGATGAAGTCGTGGGCCTCCTACTAGATGCCAACGCAAACGTCAACCACACCTCCAAAGTGAGTACATGCAACAATACCAAGATCTAGGAACCACACCGCCATCGCCATCTAGGATGGCCTCACACCGCTCATGGTCGCGGTGCGAATGGGTCATGCCATAGTTGTGCGGCGTCTCCTCAGCGCAGGTGCCAAAGTCAACTGCAAAGACAATGTACGCCTCGAAGACGTAATCACGATGACGTCATCGTCGCTAAAACTACGACCTAGGACGGCATTACAGCGCTGTACGCAGCGTCGAATGGGGGGCATGCTGACGCCGTGCAGCTGCTCCTGTGCGCAGGCGCCGACGTCAACTGGAGAAACAATGTAATACCCCACGACGTCATTACGATGACGTCATCCTCGCATATCGCTAAACCTACGACCTAGGACGGCAATACAGCGCTGTACGCAGCGTCGAATGGGGGGCATGCTGACGCTGTGCAGCTGCTCCTGTGCGCAGGCGCCGACGTCGAACTGGAGAAACAATGTAATACCCCAAGACGTCATTACGATGACGTTACCCTCGCACATCGCCAAAACTTCGACCTAGAACGGCGATACGGCGCTGCACGAAGCATCGCGGTGGGGTTATGCTGACGCCGTGAAGTTTCTCTTGGGTGCAGGCGCCGACATCAACTGGAGAAACAGTGTACGACCCCAAGACGTCATCGTGATGATGCCATCTCGCATATGGCTGAAGCGACGATCTAGGACGGCGATACGGCACTGCAACTTGCGAGGAAGGAGGGGCATGCTGACGTCGCGAAGTTGCTCCTAGGCGCCGAGTCGCCTCTACAAAAAGCAGTCCGCAGCGACAACGTCGGGCAGGTCGAGAGGCTTCTGCGTACCGGCAACATGGCCATGGACGAGCGACTTCGGGGAGTCGTCTTTGCGAGCCCTTGGGATGGCGTCTCACTCGTCGCGCACCCGGCGTTGCAGCAAGAGCTCATATCCAAGCTCCAGTGCGTGTCTTCCCGAGCCTCGCCGTTCGCGGGCATCAACCTGCTTCGAGCCTTGCAGCTCTCGAAGCCGATCCCTGAGCTCGACTTGCTGTACGCGCTCGAGCTGCTTCACTTGCCCGGCGATGACGCAACCGCTGTGACGAGCCACATTGAGAACTACTTGCGCCACTTGGTGCTCACGGGCAGCACCGCCCACCCGATCCTGCTGCTCGCCTTGGGTCGCTGGCTCATGGACCTCGCGTTTGTAAAGGCGTTTGCGACCAAGTACCCGAACGCTACGGACGCATGGCTGCTCCCCGCCGAGAAACAACACCTTGCTCCGGCGCCAGCCGAGTCGCCATCGCCGCACACGGACCTATGCACTCGACAGCTCTGGGCAACGTTACCCGGAAAGCCACCAGCGGCGGCGCCGGCCATGGACGCCCTTCTGAACCTCGTGGGAATCCCAAAAGTCAAGCAATTCGCCATCGGACTCTTTCAAACCTCGGCGGCGCTGGCGAAGATGACGCCCGAGATGCGGCAGAAGAACCCAATTTCTTTAAACTACTGCTTTGTGGGCAACGCGGGCACGGGCAAGACCACGGTGGCGCGCCACTTTGCGACGCTGCTCCACGCCTCAAAGCTGCGCTCCAAGGACGTCTTTGTCGAGACGGATGCGCGGCAGCTCAAGGACGCCGGTGCACCGGCATTCGACAAGCTCGTGCAGAGTGCTTTGGATGGCGTCCTGTTCATTGACGAGGCGTACGATCTTGATCCAATGGGCGACCTCCGCGGTAAGCCGATCGTAGCTGCCCTCCTCACCGCGGCCGAGAACCTCCGGGATCGCATCACGATCATCCTCGCGGGCTACGAGACGGACTTGCAGACCAAGCTGTTTGACTTCAACGCTGGCCTCAAAAGTCGATTTCAGTTTGTGACATTTGAGGACTTTGATGTGACGGAGCTGGCCGAGGTCTGCCGCCTGCAGGTCGCCGCCCGCGGCTGGACCGCACCGAGAGAGTTGGCAACGCTCGTCGCCAAGAAGCTCATAATCAGCGCCAACACGAAGGGCTTTGGTAACGCGCGGTCAGTGCGGCAGGAGGTCGAGGCCGCCACGCAGCGGGCCATGGCGCGACCCACTTTTTGCGGCCAGTCCCTGGTGCTGTGTCTGGAAGACGTCATGGCCGAGCACGTGTCGGGCAACCCCAAGCTGCAGCGCTACATGGCCGAGCTCGAGGCCAAGATTGGCTGGGCCGCCGTCAAGAAGAGTGTCAAGGAGCTGCTCGCACTCTGCGCCAAGAACCAGGAACGCACGCTCGCGGGCAAGGCGCCCCTGCCCGTGCGCCTCCACCGTCTCTTTCTCGGCAACCCAGGCACGGGCAAAACGACGTGCGCAGCGCTCTATGGCCGCATCCTCAAGGAGCTGCGTCTTCTCTCGAGCGGTGACGTTGTGCTCAAGACGGCGAGTGACCTCATGGGCGAATACGTCGGCGAAGCGCAACAGCGGACGCTCGCTACGCTCGAGCAAGCCAAAGGCAAGGTGCTCGTCATCGACGAGGCCTATGTGCTCAACGATGCGATTTACGGCAAGGATGTCCTCAACGTCCTCGTTGAGAAGGTGCAGAGCACGGGCCGTGAAGACATTGCCGTGCTGCTCCTGGGGTACGAGGCGCAAATGCTGACCATGCTCCGGGAGCAAAACCCGGGGTTGGCCCGCCGATTCCCGCGCGAAGCCGCCTTTGTTTTTGAAGACTACTCGGCCATGGAGCTGCTTCAGCTCCTCGAGTACACGTGCAAGCAAGAAGAAGTCACTTGTTCGTCCATGGCGATGGAGGTCGCGCTCAATGTGCTGGAGAAGCAGAAGAGCTTGGCCAACTTTGGCAACGCCGGTGCCGTCAATACGCTCGTGCACCACGCCATGGCCAAGGCGTCGCTGCGCCCTGGCACCTGCATCGTCCTCCAACCCGACGATTTCAGCGACGCAAAGGCAGTCTCTGCCGACCCATTTGCAGCCCTTGACGGTCTCTTTGGCATGGCAACCATCAAGAAGGCGCTATTGAGCTTGCGCAACGCGATGCTCGTGGCGCGCGCCGACGGCGATGCGCTGCCAGCCCTTGGACACTTTGTTTTTCGAGGGTCCCCCGGCACGGGCAAGACCACGGTCGCGCGGGCTCTGGCGACCATCTTGTTTCAGCTGGACTTGCTCACCGTGGAGAGTGTCGTCGAGACGACGGGACTCGAACTCACGGCCGACTTTTTGGGCCAGACCAAGACGGTTGTCCAGGAGAAGCTCTCGGCGGCCAACGGCGGCATCCTCTTCATCGACGAAGCGTACGCACTCGCCGAGGGCATGTACGGCCGGGAGGCCGTCGCGACACTTGTCGCGGCCATGACAGATCCAACGTACAAGAGCCTTGTGATTGTCGTCGCCGGGTATCCGCGCGAGATGGACGCCATGCTCACCACAAATGGAGGGCTCAAAAGCCGCTTCACTCGTTTCTTTGACTTTCCTGACTGGTCGCCGGAAGACTGCGTCGCCTTTGTCAAGACGACGATGACCAAAAGCAACTTTGTGGCCGACGAGAACGTCCACGAGGCGCTCGCCACCTACTTTGGCGTGCTGCGGACGCTCCCAGGCTGGGGCAACGGCCGCGACGTCCAGAGCGTCTGGAAGGCCGTCCTCGGAGCCCGCGCCGACCGCATCGCTGGGCTCCCGGCGCAGCTGCCAAAGAGAATCCTCGAGGCCGACGTGGAGACTGCGTGTGATGAGATCGTGCGCGCCCGAGCCACTGTCGTCTCGCCGCTGGCTTCAAAGGTGGCCTGCATGTTCGCCGACACGATGGCAACGGCCGTGGCCTCTGCTGTGGCGTCGCGCGCCCCGAGCGCACGAAGGAAGCCATGCGCTACGACGAGGCCCGTCACACGGGTGAGAAGGCGACGATGAAGGCGTGCCAGCGTGATGCCGGCGTCTCCGACACGGACTGGGCCGAGCTCGAGGCGGCCAAGCAAGCCCACGAAGCCCACCTGGCCGAGTGGCATCGCGAGCTCGACGCCCAAGCGCTGGCCAAGAAGCTCAAGGAAGAAGCCGAAGTACAAGAGCGCATTCGCCGCCTCTGCAAGTGCCCGATGGGATTCGAGTGGTTCCAGCTCTCGGGGGGCTGGCGCTGCGGCGGTGGCAGTCACTTTGTCACGGACGCAGAACTCAACGCCAAGTTCACCGCATAAGTCGTACTTGTTGAAGTCTAGTCAGAGCTCGAGGTACAGTCGAGCGCCGATTACGTACCATCCAACCTTTTACTGAATCAAGACTCTGTATTTCAAGTGGGAGAGGTTTGGAAGCAGCTGAACGCAGTCAACGGGAGTCTCTTCTTGGATCCCCGACCTTTTTAAAGGCACCGCGCGAGTCGACGTCTGCCGAACGCAACGCCTGGAGCGTCGCGGTCACCACGTCCACCGCGAGAAACGGTATCAGGTTGGAAGCAATGTCGCGCAATGTTGGGTTATCAACGGTATCGCCACAAGACGGAGCTTCTCCTCATATACTTCATTGACGCTCGCACCACTTGTTGCCCAGTTGACGCATCCGTCCAGTACCCTTCTAGCTGGCCTATGTACAATATTGTCTTCGCGTGCTTGCTTTGCCCTCGACGCATTGTCTTTCTCGACTCGTCCATCGTCTTACATCTGGAGCCTGCAGCGCGACTGTCCTCGACCCCCCACGACATGAGTCGTGTTGTACGCTTGGACCAGTGCGTTGTATGCACCGTCATGAAGTACACCCGACGGACAATGGTTGCTATAAAAAGAAACAACTCGCGGTTTCTGATTCGGACGCTCATGGCGCAGCTCGAAGGGTACCGATGCCCGATTGTCGTGCGCACGGCGCATATTCAGCCCTACGACATGCCTCGCTACGTGGGTGAAGTCATTTCGCAGCTGCACGAGCTGAGCCAGTGGACGACCAAGTGCGCGACCATGCTCAACCAACACCACCCCTTCCACGCGACACCGCCGATGCCCAAACCATCAGTCCCAACAACAATCCTCTCAGAGGTCGAGCTGCTCAAGCGCAGCCTCAATGTCGTTGAGAAGCAGCAGTCCAACAAACTCGTGACCGAAATCGCATATCTCCAGTGCGCCCTGCGGAGCGAAGCCGACGAGAAAATGACGGCGTTCGAGCACTTTGTCGAAACACGCCTCGGCCAGAGCATCCGCGAGGTTCACATTTCTTTGATTTGATTGGGAAACACCATTCACGCGGTTGTGTTAATAGCACACGCACGTCCTTCAGATGCAGCAGGATGCAATTGCAACCAAGATGGAAGCTATGGCCGCCACCATGGGCCTCGTGCGCTCTGAAGTGGACGCGCTACAGACCCGCGTCGGCCATGTCGAGGAGATGCTTGAAACAAACGCAAGCGTCACCTCCGAGGCGCTCCAGCGCTTGCATACGGAAGCAACCCACTACGCGAAGCAGCGCGAGAAGGCCGATTTGGGCATCGGCAACCAACTGGTTACAACACTCCAGCACTCAACAATACTAGGCTAATTGAACGGCGGTGGGTGTAGGCACAAACGCGGCTGCACGTGCAAGACGCGATTGGGAGTCTCAAAGTACAACGCTACCAAGGGGTTTATGTCAAAATGTACAAAACCACAAACTAGGGCGCCCATGCTCAACTGGTCCACCGCATGGAGACGATCCGCGTCGAGCTCCACGACGCGGTCGACCATGTTCGAAAAAACACGCAACAACACGATAAGCTTCTCACGCGCATTGCGCGCGGCACGCTCGGCTTTGAAGGCGTCAAAATCACGGTACCTCGTCGGACCCCACCCCTTTTCATTACCTGGGGTTAGGGCCCGACGACAAGCCCCAGCAAAAGAGACAACTTGTCTGATGGGACGCGACCAAAGTCGGCACGCGCTGCGGGGCCTCGACTGCAGCCCCCAGGACGTATGTGCACATCACATATGGGTGCCATTCATCCGCATGGTGTGTAGCAGTGAGCAACCAGCTGCTGTATGCCAACGCAACGTTACCGAGTACTACGAGTCACCAAGCACCAATAATTCGCGTTGGACACGATCTGCCCGTGGAGGAGACGGAAGACGACGCATTGGAGCGCTCCGAGTCGCTGCAGGCGCTCTTTCAGAGCTTGCGGAAACCAACCGCCGTCGCCGTCGAAACCACGAAACTCGAGATCGAAGCCATGTCGCCGCTTGAGACCGCGCCGTGTTATGTCTTGGACAAAGGCCAGACAGCGCCATTGCAGCCGACCGATACGCGTCAGTTTAGTTTGCAGCCGACACCTCGAGCGCAATCGAGCTCTGGCGTGCGGAACTCGTCTGTCGTGAGTGCTCCGGCCGTTGGCGACCGCATTTCCAGCACCAAGCGCGATGCCGTACGAGGTGCAGCGTCCAAACGACCTCGCAAGCCCGAGGTATCATTCCCTCCAATGTCTCGTGAATGCATTTATTCACGTCTGGTTCAAAGGCGGGAAGCTCCTCGGTCAAGCTGGGACCACCGACGCGGCCGCAATCGGCACGTCACAAGCCCACAGCGTCCTTTCTCCCAGCACCCGAGTCGGTCAAGATACAGATCGCAACCGCGCGACGGGCCGAGACCGACGCCACTCCACCGACAGGATGACACCATGTAAATACAATAAAATTGTAGAGTCAAGTTTGTGTCTCAAAGGACCGCCTTGTCTTGGCCTGGAGCTTCTCAACTTGGGTCGCTTCGAGGGTGGCGAGTTCCTTGAGCTCTTGACCGAGACCGCGTATTCGGGCGTGACTCATAGCCGCTACATTCGACCCGATACGGCGCTTGGCCTCTTTTCGCAAAGCGCGAATTTCCATGGCTTGCTGGACAAGCTACGCAGCATGAATATCAATGCGACTCAACACACCACATTAGATGCTGTACCTGTTGCTCGAGCTCCTTTTCCCGCCGATGGGACTGCTTTTGAGCAGCCTTGAGCTCGCGGTGCTGAGCGTCTCGCGCGCCAAGATCATCGATCGTCGCCTGGAGCTGCTGGATCGTGTCTTGGCTCGCATCCAGCTCGGCTTGCAGCGCCCGCATACCGTCGCGCTCTCGCTTCTGCAGCGAATGAAGCGTCTTTAGCTGCGCTTCCTTTTCGGCTTTGGCGGTGAGCACACGCTGAAGCACGGTGCGCAGTGCCGACGTGTACTGGAGCCAAATCGTCTCGTTTGCATGCGTCCACGGCCCCGGCACCGGCGATGATGGGTCGCTGCCATTACTGAGCCACACGCAGAGAGTATGGCCCAACGGCATGCACCAACGCGCGTTGAGTCGGTTCTTCTCGCTCGAAATGACGACTTCGTACAACGGAAAGAGCAATTGAAGGTGGTCCTGCGCCGTGCTGCGCACGGACGCTTCGTCGTCGGCTGCGTAGAGCTCCGCGAGGTAGCCCAGGCACGCTTGCATGGCCCGGGATTCGTCCGAGATGGCGGCGCATTTGGCCACAAGGTCGTCGACCTGGGTGTGCACCTCGCTGTACAAGGCTTCTTGAGCGGTCGACGTCGTTGTGAGTGCGGTCGTTGATAGGACGGCCGCGAATACCTTGGTCAAGGCGGGTGCGAGCTCGTCGCGTGCGACGGCGTCAGCGACATCGTCAAAGAAGCTGAGTGTTGGAGACTGGACGAGGACACTACCGACTTCATTCTGAACGCGCACATCAAAGAGGAGAAGACTCTCGGTTGCGTGCTTCTTCCAGAAAGCAGTGTCGCGCCGGCAGCGGTCGTCGTCGTGCACGGACGGAATCGATAGGACGGTTGTGTCGAGTGCCTGAAGCCGCACTTGGCTCTCAAACCACGCTACCAGCGCTGGTTTTTCAGCTGCATCGGGAGCGAAAAACGAGGCGTGGACGCTGTCGTGCACCCAGAGCGGGTGCTTTGGTAGGCTTGCAGTTACAGCCGTCGAGAGCTGCGCAAGCGTCGAGAGTCCTACCCAGGATGAGCGAGATGTGCTCCACGCCATGTACCTAAAAGGCCTTCTAGGTAGGATCCGGCTGCAGGAAGGGAATCGGCGGTGGCGGGAACTGCTGGAAAGACAGCTTTTAGCTGCGGGTGGTCGGTGGTCGCAAGACTAGATCGTTTGGGCAGTGTGACGCTGGACGCGCGCGGGGCCACTGTCGAGAGCCGACGTGATGTCTGCCGGCGCGACGCCGCGTCCTTGGCCATGTCGGATTCGACAAGTCGCTGCACATGGCTGCAGAGAAATCTACCATACGTCGTCACAATGACATTCTAGTGCTGGTGACTTGAAGCCGTACTTGGCAAACTGGGCGAGGAGGTCGACTTCAAACGTCGAGAAGGCGACTTCGTAGCGGGACGCTTGAAGAAGCCCAAGGACGTAATTGGTCGTTGGGCTCTGGAGCGACACGAGCAGCTTGTGTTCAAGCGTCGCACTCTTGTACGTCTGCACGGTGGCGCCACTGAGAATGGCGCGCTGGGTCTAAAAACATCACGGTGTTAAGCATCGTACGGAGATAACAAGGTGTCTACATCGTGGTCGACGAAGGCTGATGCTGGCATTTGCTTGATCGACTGGTCGAGTGGGTCGACCCAAAAAAACTGCTCACGCGTGCACCAGTAGAGCTGCAGGAGTGATTGAGGCACCATTGTTGTCAGCGCCTGCGTTGTCCTCTAGCATGTCCATTGATTCGACGACAATTTTTCCACAATTAGTGTACGGTACCATGGAGAGTTCGGGGAGCGACGTTGACGCCAATGCATCCGGTTGCAGCGAGAGTAGAATCTGTTGAAAGTCGAGGAGCTGGACGCGGTCGCGTACGTGGTCTACCATGTCGAAGTGCTGCTTTGAATTCCAACCAGTTCAAATACCTTGCAGTTCGTGGACTTGGTGGAGCAGCGCGTCGCGTTCGTTGGCGACATCCGCGAGCTTCTCGGTGTGCACTGCGACGCGGGCATCCGTGGCTTGCTGCGCCACTCCAAGGCGCAGAACGGCTTGGAGCAACGACGTCAAGAGCGTCCAAATGGGCGCTGTGGCCGACGTAGCTATCGATCGCCGTTGCAGATTTCATGTACCAAGAGAGCGTCTATACCTGGTCCTGTGGTCGCATGGACTACTAAAATCATTGGCAAAACATCCATCGACGCTGGTTTCGCCGCGACACTGAGTAGCATTTGGTGGGGAGCGTCCACATCCAGAAAGCCATCAACGTCGGCATGGTACGGACTGGCCGCGAGCTCGTGGGCAGCCAGCACGACGGGCGTCTCGGACTGCAAAGCAAGCCCGGCGACACCGAGGTGTCCGAGATAGGTCGTCACCGGGCCTCTCTACACCAAAAAGGATTCAACGCACCCTCGAGACGAGGTTGGTTTTATACCGACGCCCCAACAACCGCGAGAAGCTCCAAGTGGTTAGCGTCCGCGCGAAACAATCGCACCATCTGGATCGTTGGCAGCGCACCGATGGCTTTGCACAGTTTCTACGAGTATTCGTGTTGCACGGGTCTGCATCCTTTTGGCTGCGGAAACGTACGTCAGTCGACCAGTCGCTGGGCGAAGCCTGGAGCAGCTTGAGAAGCTCTTGCAAGCCGTGGGTCACGACACGGGTCTCGTGCTCACGATCCTAGACAAGAGATGCTCGTTTACATGAGCACTAAAGCGCAGCATTTTACGAGCGAGTGGGAGCGCAGCGCACTTGTCAATTCGGCGTGTGCCGCTTCCAGCGCTTGGTAGGCGTCGTTCTTGGCCAAGGTCGCGTGCTCGGCATCCTGAAGGGCGTGCTGCAGCGTCCACTGCTTGTACGCAAGCCCCATCACGAACGCCAGCTGGTCCCAGAGACCTGTCGTCTTGGCCAACGACGTCTATCACAGTCTCTCAGCGCACATGACAACGGATTCTCGTCGTACGTCAAACGCGTCAATGTCCAAAAGACCCACAAGAACGTCGTCTGGAGATCGAAGGACGATCGAGACGCTCCTCTCAGACCGCCGGACGAACGTGGCATGGGCAGCGATCCCGGCGGCTTCCTCGGCGTCCTCTACACGAGCCTTAAGGCTTGTCTTCTCTACAGAAAGAAGACATCACCTGTGGTCGTCGTCCGCCACTGCAACTCGACGCGAGCAGCGTGAAGCATGACCTTGACATGACCGGCAACCATCTAGTGGTGACACATCGTGACAGACCGCGATCAACGCGATTCGTACTTGAGCAAACGCTGCGCGTGACGTCGCCGACTCGGTCGCGCGCGTCAGCCGAAGCAGGTCCATACCAACGCCGTTCGCATCCGATAAAAAGTGCATTTTTTGCTGGCTGTACTTTTCACCGAGGCTTTCAATCGCAAGGGTGTGGGCCACGAGCTGGCACGCGAGGCTGCCAAGCAGCCGCAGCCATGGCCAGTACTGATACGCCTCGGTCGGGTGCTCGATGATAACGACGAGGAGCACGATGCAATCTTCCGTGAGCTTGACGCGGAGACAGCACCATAGATGCGTCGACTCGCTGAGCGTCACAGACCACGCTGGAAAGACGGTGGCGATCGCCGCCTCCAAGTCCGTGGATATTGCCGAGGAGGACGGTCTTTGCTTGACGAGCCTAGACGCACTGATCACACGCGATTTTGGATTGAAGAGGTCGCGTACTTGAAGGCGAGACCGTCGGCGGCGCGGTCCTCGTCGAGAAGAAGCTGCACCATTGCCATCGCTTTGCTGTCGTGACTTGGCACCAAGACGGTACGGCGGCGCTGAAGCCGATCTTCCTTGGGAATGGCCACGTAGACGTGCGCTTCGTGGGCACTTGGCAGCTGCCCCAAGTTTTCCTCGATGCTCTCGAGCGCATGGCCCCAGAAGTCCCGCTTCGTAGGCCATTGCTGGATGTGCGCAATGACCCGATTTGCTGCCATCGTCGCTGCTGTCGCCAATTCCAGCTGACGCTTCTTCGCAGAGTCCACCGCTTGCGACGCATGGAATTGGTCGGCGGTTTTGGTTTGCTGAACGAGCGCCTCTTTCGTCGCGATGCGTGCGAGGGCGTGGTCGATATGGCTCGCCAGATGCAGCTCCTCCAGCAGCACGAGCACGCGCTGCCGCAATGCGAGGTAGTCGGCCGCCGGCATGGCATCTCGACACTGCACCTCCAAGACGCCGAGAAGCGTACGTGGCGTCTTGTCCTGATGCCACAATGGCAGGTACATGTCGTGGAGGTTCTGCAGATTGCCAGGATGTCGATCCAACGTCGACGGCTCATGTGTAAAGAGGCACGACCCGACTGGTCCGTCCCCGAACGCGACCTCGACTTTTGGCTCGAGGCTCCAGAGCACCCGTCGTGTGTGGTCGGCCACGTACAAAACCACCGCGCCGGTCGTCTGCAGCAGTCGCGGCAGCAGCTGCCGCACAGCGCTAAAGATCGTCTCCGTGCGACTCAGCGCGTGCATGCACTCGTAGCCATTCTGGAGAAAGGCCATGGCGCCTTGCGTTGATCGTAGCTGTGTCTGAAGCGACGTGGCGGTCGCCGCGTACTCGGCTAACGCGCGATCCTGCGTTGCCGCGTTGCTGGCGTGGGCCCCGCGCGTGTCATTCACACTGAGCGCGATTGTACACGCCAAGAGCACCCAGCGTCGGTCCTATATACTTGAGAGTTGGCGATGACTCGGTAGAGTGAATGGTTACCGTCGCGTGCGTCGACGACGATGATGATGATGAATCTTGGGTGCCGTAGAGGATACCGAGAAGCCGGCGCGGCTCATGAGGGTTGTAGATCGGCACGCAGAGGACATTTATATCTTCTTTGATGCGGGAGGCAGGCGTCTCGATCCTCGATTGCGTCTGTGCGTAGACGGCTGCGACGTGCTTGGCTTCGGCCTGCGACCGACATACCGCGCCAGCTGCAAGCGCACTCGCGTCATGCCACTGCACATACCCCAGGTCCAAGAGGCTTTGAGTCGCTTTCTCCACCAGCGAAGGTGCGGCCTCCGCAGACGCAGACAAGACGGTATGAACCAGCGCCAGACACTGCGTGACGCAGTCGAGCTGCTTGGCGTACGTCGTGACGGAGCTCGCGGCGATCGCTGCCGTGTCTTTCACCTTGGTATTGGCGTCCTGCAGCTGCTCCAGGCGGTGGTAGAGTCCATTTGTTCTACAGAATGCTTTGATTTCGACTCGACAAGCGAGGTACGTACTGTTGCCAGCGCTGATATAGCTGCGCCAGTGCGCGTTGCAGCGACGGTAGCACGCGACACTCGAACGGCTGTCGATGCCGCTGGCCTTTGGCGGCGCTGACAGCGATGAAGACGAGGACGCCTAGGAGTCTCCCGTGGGCGTCGAATGCAGGCGATGCGCACATCGATTCCAAGCGAATGTCGGAAGCAAACTGCGCCTTCTCGATCGGAAACGCCGTGGTGACGCCCACACTCGCAGGATACGAGCCCGTGGTCACCACACTACCGGTCTGGCAGGCATGGCCCACCATACCAGTGGCGATTGCCACGTCCATCGACAAGCGGGGGTTGGTCAGCACGGATTGCGTGCCGTCGAGAGCGAGGTAGTACGCGTGCGAGTAGAGCCAAGGTGTGCACTCGGCAAGAACTGCGTCTTCAATGCGCTATTCCATAATGAGATGGCACTGATCACAAGATAGACCGCGGTGGCTACCTTGGCCAGCGCGGTGGCCGAGATCTTGTCGACGGCGCAGGTCGCGAGCGCCGCCACGAGGCGTTGCTCCAGCAAGCGGACTTCCGTCTCGACCTGGTGCGTCGTGAGCTCGCGCAGCTGCTCGTGGGCCCAGACGGCAAGCGCTTGGGCGTTCTCGACGCGTGCCGTCCACGCATCTTGCTCGAGACAGCGCGTGAGCAGACTCGAGATGTAGAGTGACAACGACTGGAGGAGATGCGTCGTTGCGTCGTCCAACACCTCGAGCCGACCAAAGGCGACGAGACCCTGCACGGTGCCGTTGGAAGCGACCGGCACCACATAGAGAGTCGTCGCCGCGCTTTGATACAGACGACTCAAGACGGGCGAGAGCCACGCCCCTAAGGTTGACGTTCCCTAATAGCATGATCCAGCGTACATTGGTACAAGGGTCGTTAGTACCGTCGACGCCTTCTTCATCTCGAGTGCTTGGGTGAAGAATGGCTCTTCGTCCAGAACAGCGACGACGCGGTCTCCTCGACGCATCGTCCAGAGCTGGCCATCCTCAGCCAGCACAAACAAATCCGCGGTGGTTGCCAGCGTCGTGGCTGGCACAATGGCATGCACACGCTGCATAAGATCGGGGGCAGACGTCACATTCGCCTCGAGTGCATCCCACGTGCCATGCGTTTGCGCCAACATCTCCACATGCCGGTCCCACCGCGCTTGCAGCCGCGTCCTAGACACCGTTTTATGAATTTCATGACAGGATCGATGCGTGTACCGTTCGGAGGCCAGCTCCGTGCTGGCGTCGATGCGAGCCATCGCGCGGGGCAGCCACGCAACGAGCAGCTCGACGCAGAGCTCCATATCAGCGACTGCGTGATCGATGGCGACTTCAAGGCAGCCCGCGATCGGCGTCAATGGAAAGCATACGACAGCCATGGGCTCGACTCCCGCGCGCCGATCAAATGTCGCGTCGTACGCTGGGTGCGCTGGCGATCCGTGCGTGAGGGCATGGGACATGGCGCACACGAGCGGGACGCCCGACGTCACGTGGATCTGTTGGTGCGCGACCCATGTCTGCAAGCCATTCTCGCATGGCCAGAAGAGCGTCGCCCGGGGTACGTTAAAGTGCGCGCGGAAAAAGGCATCGACCGCCGCCGTAATCTCGGGGCGCGCTGCCGAGTCCAATTGCAACAGGCTCGAGAGAAAGGCCACCTGGGTCGCATCGCGGGTGCGTGTCATCGTCACCTCCGCGTGCTCTCGCTGCGCAGTGGTGTAAGTGCATTGGATGGCGTCGCATTGGAACGTGAGAGCAAGCGCTGTGCAGCACGCCTGCACAAGCAGTTTCCACGCGCCCCGGGGCGCCGATCGCTGGATGGCGACGCCAAACGCCCCTTTGGTCTCGAGGGACACTGCAAATGCCTTTGTAATGTACTGGACATCGTCATCCTGGTCGACGACGACGGTCTTGGCTGCGATAGCGTGGGCGAGCTGCTCGTACGCCTTGCGTGCGTGGTGCTACGAGGTATATTAGCCCAAGAGCTCTGCTGGTGTGTGCGCACGTCGGTGGATGTGATAGGTGGGTCGTGGGGCAAGCGCAAGAGGAAGCACACGCCGTTGTCGCGTGTCATACCTCCAAGAAAGCTGCGCAAAGCATGCGCGAGAGCGTCTGTCGACGAGCGCAGCAGCAGCTGCAGCAATCCTGTCTCGAGTGTCGAGGTCAATTCGAGGATCTGTATGGTCTGCAAGCACTGCAGCAGGGACGGTACGAGACGTTCGAGCCGAGCGAGGTCCTCGGCCACGACCGCTCCGTGCACTGCGACACCATACGTCTCCTACAAAGCTTTCAATACCAATTCAAGTCCTCAAGACGGCAAGTTACCTCGGCGAGGCGAAGGGGCAAGAGAAGGTACTTGCGCGTCGTGTTTAGAACCGGGCGAAGTTTGAGCGCTGTCAACGTCGCTGACATGACCTCCATCTCGATGGGCAGGTCGTTGGAGGACGACGACGAAGCGAGCGCCACGATCGTGTCCATGTCGCGCTCGAGCTTGTAGAGGCCCACTTGGATCCAGCGCTGTTTTTTTCCAAGTGCATCGACACTTTCGAGCCACTGGGTCAACGCCTCCGTCAGCTCAACTGCACTCGTTGCCTGGAGGAGGCGGCCGATGCCATCGTGGAGGTGCGTAATGTCCTTGGCGTGTTCAGCGTTGGTTGTGGACGCCGATGCAGACACTTCGATGCAGGGCCCAAGGAGGATCGCCAAGGTGTCAAGGTACGACCCCTTCCATGCGTGGGTAATGTAGTCGTGGCGCGACAAGAGAACTTCAAGAACCGCTGTCGGTAGCACCTCGGTCGTACGTGGGTAGATCGGCAGCACGAGCAGTGCAAGCTCCGCCGTGTACTCTGGCAAGAGCGGGATGTCGACCTCGGCGCAGTAGTCGTTGTCTTGAGAGAGCTCGTCGAGCGACAAGCAGAGTGCGGATTGCTCCGAGATGGCACGCCACGCGAGGCCGCGAAGCGGTATGGACGAGGTCGCAGTCAGAAAGCAGTGGCTGGCGCTGTCGACGCGCAGAACGATACTGGCGGCAGCTCCAACGTACTGCTCGAGCAGTGCGCGCACGGCGGGGACGAGGCTCGGCCGGCGCAAGTGCTGCAGCAAGACGACGACGGTGGTCGCGAGTGCGTCCTGGAGGACGGTCTGCTGCGCCAGCTGAGCGTGTGCGCTCTGCGCCTGAAGCTCGAGGCGCTGCGTCTCGTGGACCTGGTACGCGTACTTGCGCTGGATCGTATCGAGCTGCGCGGCCAGGAGGTGGACGCTATGGCCTGCGTCCCCCATGCTTCGGCGCGTTTTGTTCGTTTGGCAGATCTTCCATTTCGCACCGGAAATGTTATCCGGATACGCCAGCACGCGGTTGAAACAACGGTAGCTGCACGACGCGCAGGCATATATTGTCGAAAGACAATCTCTCCACACTCTGCTAACGCACGTACACTGGTAGATTTGGCATACTAAAATCCATTTCGCAACCCAATGCGTCTCCATGGACCTAATAGTAGCTGCCTATCTGCGGCGACCTCACTTGCACAGCTCTTGCCGTCCTCCTATGGCATCAAGGATGGCACGTACTACATCGAGACCGTGATTCGCGCGGTCGATGACTTTGTCGAGCTCTAGTTTGGCCTCACGCGCTCTCTTGGCAGAGATGTCGTGCTGCATGAAGTCAAGCCTTGTGGACGTTGCGGCAGCTCTTGCGGCGGTGGCTCGCAAATGAGCAGCTCGTGGCACCAGTCGTATCAACCTATCAAGTGCGACCCAGTGCGTCATTGGCCAAAAATCGTCGCAAAACAATACAGTATCGATCTTTAACACTATTATCTTATTTAAGGGCACACTAAAGCGCTACTTCACACTAAATTGCCACTTTCTACAGTTATTGCGTCGGCGCCAATCTCGTCGACGGACCAGCATGAGCCACTGGACGGCGATCAACCCCGTGGGCCAGAGCCCGTCGCTGGCGCCGATCAAGCGCGTCCGAGAGGCCGGCCGAGCTCCATCGACGCCTGATGGCGACGCATCCCCGCCACCATCGCCCCGGAAGAAGCGCAGCAAGCGAAGCCTCATGGAGACCGAGGAAGCGCTCGAGGCCCGCTTGACGGCTTCGTACGAGAAGACGTTGCGGTCGCATGATAAGCCTGCGGTAGGTCGACGCACGTGCTCCAATGCTTCATCACGACGATGCTGGCGTAGGTGGCGACCGGCATGTATGTGGAGATCTTGCAGTTCATTGCCTCGCTCGACGACATGGGCGCGCTCTCGACGACGACCCGCAAGATCCAGTACCTCTGCCTCAAGAACCTCGCGCGCCTCGAAGCCAAGAGCGACCCGAACGCGACCGAGCGCGCGCTGCAGCACTACGCCGACGTACACTCTCTCGATTCCCAATAATCCCATGATCTCACAAGCTGGCGCGTTAGGCCTTGGACATTGACACCACGGATTGCCTGGTGTGGTACGAAGCTGGCTGTGTCGCTTTTCAGCTGCAGCAGTACGAGCTTTCCATGACACTCGATTCCGTCCATGACCATGCGCTTAGGTTTGGCTTGGCGCGAGCGTACCTCGAGGAAGCGTTTGCGCTCGACGCTTGCTTTTGGCCCATGGTCTACAAGCTTGTGCTCGTACTGTACGTCTTGCAAGGTAGACACTTTCCGTGGTTCTCGATACCTGTACAAAGACATGGTGTAGACGAAGCTGAGTGTCTGCGCGTGGTCAAGCACGTCCTCGCCCACGACCCCAAGCACCCCGTCGCGACGTACCTCGACGGCAAGCTCTCGGGCCAGTGCAGTGCTATCGTGCCATGTCCAGCAAGCGTCGTAGCTGCCGAGGCGCAGCGCGCTCATACCCACACGCAGCTTCCTGCCACGCGCCACTCGAACGTCTTGGCCTACACGCTGCAAGACAACTCGTGGGCGTCGCTGGGCGCATTACTCTTGGAGCTCTTTGACGAGGCGCATGCGTCGGTCGACGACGCGTCGCTCTCGATGCACCAATCGATCGTGATCTTGCCTTCCCCCGCAGCGGCCCCGGTCGAGGTGGCACCACCGGTCAAAACCGAGGTGGCAGCGAATACTAGTATGGTGATTACCGCGCCGTCGGTGCCAGAAATCATCAACATTAGCGATGACGACGACGATGATGACGACGATGTTGTCATTGTCGAAGCAATTTCCGTGCCGGACTCGGACGCGGCCACTGCCAAGCCACTTAACGCCGTTGTCGCGAGCCTGCGCAAATCAAGTGACGCCGACCCTGCGTCACCGGCAACGCAGAGCCGCCGGACGTCCCATCGGACGCAAAAGCGCATGCAGGACGAGATTGAAGCCGCGATCAAAGAAGCCAAAGAAAAGGACATTGCCTACCAACTCCTCGTACGTATCTACGCAAATGGTGTACGACCGCCGTTTTAACAAGTGCTCCTAGTCGTTCATTGACAAGGACGCCGACGCGGCCGTGCCACACGACACGTCAATTTACGACACGCATGTGCGAGCCGAGATGGCACCTGATGGGTCTGCGCTGCGCTTCTTCCGCGGGGCGAACGAAGAGGCCACGCTAGAGCTCGCACCGGCAGTGGCCAAAGTACATTCCTATCGAACGACCGATCGAATCTCACACGTCGTGTGTTAGGAGCTGCTTTCGTCGCCCCTCTCGTCGCCGCTGCCAGACGAGGACGCATTGACATCGCTGGTGCTGTCGGTCGAAGGCTTCCTCGGCAGTCTCTCGAGCACGAAAGGGTACGTTTTACAAGATATTCTACAATAGTATCAAGACGGTATCAACCTAGCCACTCGCTCGAGGCGCTCATGGTCGAGTTTCTGGAAGCTGTCGCCCAGCACCCGGGGGTCGCCTTGGGCAACGACCTCCTCCGCATCGTGCGGCTGATGGATTGCAGCCTCCGCGATGCGCCCGACGCCCGGCCCGTCCTTGCCTCCCGTACACTAAATCATGTATCGTGTCGTTGGTGTCTCATGCCTAATGGCTGTAGCGGACTTGCATCTCTCGCTCTCGTGTCGGCTCTTTCTTCTCGAACTCCACGTCGACGCGCTCATTGCGGGCTACGACCCGCTCATGCACAGCCGCGTCGAGTTTTTTGCTGCGCTGCAGCGCCAGCAGCAACAGTTGCTCCGCTGGAAACTCGACGTTTGCGAAACTGCAAGCGACGCATTGGACGCTACGCTGGACTTGCGCTTTCGTTGGCTGCAAATCCACTTGGACGAACACCTCGGTCACGTCGACGCAGTGCTAAATGCGCTCCAGGCGCTGCAAACGCTACTCGGCTCGTCGGTGCTTGCACTCGGGAATGTCGCAACGTTTCCACGTCTCTCGCGGTCCGCCGTCGAGCGCAAGCTTCAGAAACAAGCGCTCACCGTTCTCGCCAAGCAAGTCTGCGACCGGTTTGCCCTCGTGGTAGCGTCCGATTGGCTTGCAAGCGTCGTGAAGCAACCTCGTGCGTAGGACCCGTCGACGACCACAGTGGAGACGGAGATTGTCGATCTGGTCTTGCCGCACTACGACCCGCGGGCTGGCAAAGGCAGTCGCGTCGAGGACCTCGTGCTGCAGTTTCGGCTCTACCTCGTACAGTGTCGTGCCTGCCACAAACGTATCAACTCGCTTTGTAGCTTCAAATGTACGACTGGAAAAAGGCGACGTCGCCGCTGGCCAAGCCGGCGCCGCCGCTTCTCACGATGCTGATCAAGTGCCTTGTGCGCCTCGAGCGCGACGACGTGTGCTACGAACTGCTCTGTTTGAGTTGGTACTACATCCTTCAGCACCAAGTACACACCTCCTCCTGTAAAGACACACGTTGCATGGATGATGTCGTAGGCGACGACGACCGACAAGACGACGGTTCAGTGCCTCAAGTACGTCACGTCGCAGCTTCAGACAGTATTTGCCAAGAAGCCGTACATCACGCCAGCGTACCTGCTGCTGCATCAAGTGTGCGCGTTTCAGTGCCGCGATTTCATGCTGCGACACTTTCACTCGTCGAGTCTGCTTAACATCCTCGCGCAGACGCTGCCAAGCGCCCATGTCCCGTCGCTCGTGGGCAAGATCCTTCACCAGCTCACGTCAATCGACCTCCGGAAGCGCGGCAACACGTCGCTCCTGGCGCTCTCGCTGAGCGCGCTCCAACTCTTGTATCAGCACCTCAAGACCATGGACGCCAGTACCACGATCCCGCCAGCGCTGGCGAAAGCGCTGAGCAGCTCGATCGCCGTGTACCTCAAGACACAGATTGAGGCCGGCAAGTTCCGCGCCCAGTCCCGGTACACGACCTCGTTGTGATGGTTTGTGTCTTATGAAAAGAGGGATGTAGGCAACTGCTCTACGCGTCATGCACATCTTTTTGCTGCTCTGGCAATACTTGGACGACGGCAACACGCTTCAGGACGGTATTCAAATGACCGAGCTCCTGCACGATCTTCTGACAAGCGGTGACGGCCTCGAAGACCACGGCATGTGTGGCCTCGACGGCGATCGAACTTTCCTTCTCACGACGCGGCAGATCTTGACCAAGATTCAAGAGAAAGCCGACAAGTCGGACGAATCGCTCATCGAAGACCTGGAGGAGGCGCTCGCGCAGTGCTACTGCTGCCTCTACGGCTACGCGCTTCTCCCGTCGTGCGTCGAGCACATGCCCAAGGAAGGCAAGAAACCGACGCCCAAGAGCGCCGACGATATGTTTGCGCTGCTGACGTTTGCGCAGTCGCTGGACCCGAAACACTGCACACGAAAAGAGTGCTACTTGCTCTACAAGGACGTCCTTGCGCTGCCCGAGACGGCCGAGATGATGAAGACGAGCCTCTTTGGTATCCCATTTTCCTTTCCTCTATGTTTGTAAATCCATGTCTCGATTGCGTAGACAATAATGCGATTGGCGGCTACGTCAACCCCGTCGCGTCGGCCGACGTGCATGTCAAGCTGCCACCGATCGCGGCCGCCAAGAACGCGCCGACACCCGACGCGACGCCAGTCAACGATCTCTGGTTCCTCCTCGCGACGACGATGCCATTGCCAAAGTGCAAACGCCGCGGGAAGGACTATAACGTCCTCCTCGAGTACGAGCAGTACTGTCTCCAGTACATGCAGTACCTCCGGCGCGACGTCCGCGTGCACCCGCTGCGCGCCGAAGCCTACGAGCTCCTCGCCCAGAGCGCCAAGACGCTCCGTGCGCTCGTGGTCGACCATATGAACGTGGTCTGGTCCAACCACTTTGTGCTGCAAGCGCTTCCTTTGCAGCGCACGATCCTGCTCGAGGCCGGTGTCCAGCCCACGTTCGATGAGATCTCGGCGACGCCGTTCTTCCAGAACGTTTTGCAGTGGACCGACGCGGTCGATAAGACGCTACCCGACGATGTGGCCTCGCTGATGCCGAAGTCTCGATTGTTTCTGCGGCAGTACACGCAGTACACGGCTACCCTGACCGAGCTGGCGTTGCGCTCTATGGACATGGCCGCCGAGCTCGACCCGGCAGCGTATCGTGTCGAGTGCGGCGAAGACAGCGGCTTCTTGCTCTACGCACGGCTATCCGAGCGCCAACTCGCAAATACCGAAGCAGTTCGTGTCGCCGAAGCCGCCGGTCGGTACTTTAAGAACGCTCTTGCCGACGCGTCGTGCTCGCCGGTGACGACGCTGCGCGTGCACTACATGCTCGGGAAGCTCGGGAAGAAGATTCTGACGCTGCACAACGAGCGCCACCTTTCCTCGTCCTGGCGCTCGGTGCTCGAGTCGTTTGCGAACGCAGACAAGGCGCGCGTCGATGACGACGCCGACGAGTACCTCGTCCACGCCTTTCACCTGCTCCACGCGACACGCCTCAAGCTGCTGCTCGCGCCAGTACCTTGTCGGTTCAATGGAGGGATACTCATCCGTGTTTTAGGTGTTGCAGCGATGTACGCCGGCGACAGTGCCCGAGCTTCGCCACGCGCCGCTGCCTCGTCTCGACGACGCCTTGCCGTCAGCCGAGATGCTGGCGTTGATCGAAGCGTTCGCGTATGAAAAGGATGATGCGACCCCGGTAGTTCTCGAGACGGACCCGCGCAAGCGGTTTCAAGCCGCGCTGGAGAACTGCGTCTCGGCCCTCGAGGTCGTGCCGCAAGAAGACAAGTACTTTCACCCGGCGTACTTTAGCCTTGCCCGCGGTGTCTTTTACGCCGGTGCAATCATTGAGGACGAGACCAAATACGGGGCCGCCGCAGCACTCAAGGCGATGAAGCCACTCTTTGATAAGAAGCGGTCGCAGATCGTGTCCGTGTGGCTCTCCGAGTCAGACACGCACAAGCTCGACGAGCTGCACCAGACGCAAGCCGCGTACGACAAGCTCCGGCTCAAGTACCACCAGTTTTACATGCATTTGCTCACGGCCGGCGGCGACTATGCGGTATCCTCATTGATCCAAACGACAGCGTATTGACACTTCATCTAGCGCATCTGTGAGATTACCAACTGGATCACAAGCAGCAAGGAAGAACACTGGGTGCTCGATGCGATGTTGGCGCAGGCGCTTGTTGCCCGAAGCTACCTCGCGCGTGGTCGTGTGCTGGACATGTTCATGAAGTGCCTCTTTCCGCAAAGCGACGACGAGCCCGCGTCTGCCAAGGCCGTGGCGCACCTGCACCGCATGTACGGCGTGTACATGGAGTCGCAAGATGCGTGGCAACGCGCACGTCCGTACAACCACGGGTACGCTCCCATTGCAAGATCTGAGTGTTCTGATCCAGTCTAGGTCGAGCATGGGCAGCTGGCTCTGGGAGGTGACCATGGCGTACGCTTTGGCCCAAGCGTCACTGATCGAGTCAGGCGCGGACCTTCTCGGTGTCGTGGCGGTCGCGCATGTCAAGACGCACCTCGATACGCGGGACCCATTGACGACAAACGAGACGAGCCTCCTCGGTCTCCACCTCGAGCTCAAGATGGAAGACCGGCGCGACTGGGCCGACTTGGTTGACAATACGCTCGCGTATTGCGCGACCACGTGGCCCGAGAAGACGAAAAGCAACAAGTCCAAGCTGCCGACCCCCAAGACCAAGCCACATCTGACGCTGGCGTAGATTTCCTTTCTATTGCATCCAAGACGAAAAATCAAAAACTGTTGCACTGGAGGATCTGCTCACATAGACAAGAAGGCTGGTACGCCTATCGCCGTGGCTTGTTGCTGCAGCGAGCAGTCGATGGACACAGCTGCTTGATTTGAGCAGGAGATGATGTGGCGGGACCACTCGGAAAGACATACTCAGATGTAGACTACACCATGTAGCTCTCGTAAGGCTCGTACCACCTCGCCTTGAAGGTGCAGTCAAGAAGGCACAGTTCTCGTCGACATCTTTTCGTCAAGCGGTATAGACACTTGTTTACCACCAGGTAGACCCGTCCGGAGAGAGCCTCACTGTCTGATGGGTTATGAACTTGACGGCGGTACCAGACTTGGTGGGCATTATTATATATATAAAAAATATCGAGGGCATATCGGCAACTTGACGAAGTGGAATCCCAGACGCTGAACCCTTGTCCTAATGCTACGAACGTTTTTTGTAGTCGAGGTTGCGCGACTTCGGTGACTGAGAAATGGCTCCTCCATAACTGAGCAAAACCATGTAGGTGCACCAGCCTCACCGCAACCCATGAAATGAAAAATCGCCGTCGCAGCACGACTCATCTTTTGGGCAAACCCACGAGGTGCACCGTAGCGTAGCGGAAGGTGCATTGTATTGGTAGAGTAATTCCCGACCAAAGGCCGGTAGCGAAGCGGAGGTTAAAATTGGTGCACGCGTCTAACACCAATTCCCAATGTTTAAATTCTAGTGTGTTTACATGTGAGCACGATACGCCGACCGTACACGTTGCATGTGAGCTCGTACAATTGTACATCGGCAATTTGAACGCGTCCAAAGAGGCCAAACTGCCACATACGTTGGACACGGAGATACCGACCGCTCGCTTGCACGCTATCCCGATCCCAACCCAAACCAGAAAGCTCGGCCACAGTGCACCCAAAGAAAACACGAAATGAACTCGAATACTGCTTTACTTGCTATACTCGTAGTAAAGAAGCAAACGCTCGAGCTGCTTTCCAATGCCGCCAAGGTCACGGGCGTACGAGGCTCGGATGTTGGTGCACTTGAGCTTGTTGTACTTTCGGGCGAGCTTGGCAAGATGTACTCGCGCAGCGGAAGAACTTGGTCACGCGCGGCAAGGCCCAGCCTGGAAAGATCATCTCACACTCTCAGTACGGTTGGTACGACGATCGGTCACCACTCGGAATTGCGATGGAGTAGTTCTCGACCACGGAAATTGCGCAGCTCGATGCACAAAGCTCGTTCGATCTCACAAAAAAACAACGAGACCACCCTGCTTATGGTACGTGTCATGGAGCGTGTCGTCTTCCGTTGTAGAGACGGCAACACGGCCCGGTGCCTGGGTGTCTTTCTTCGTAGAGACATGGCCTACCGGTAGACCTTGGCGCAGAGACACTTGCAGCGCGGACACGGCTTGCCGCAGCGCGGCATGATGCCGTCGACCGCTCCGTACGCCTCGCTTTGAATGACGTCGACGACCTCCTGAGCAACTGTCGAGCTCCACACTGCCGATGGTCCAAGAGAAGTCTCAAGGGCGGCCAGACACGCCAAAAGACTCTGTGGCACGCTGAGCTCGTCACGACCAGACATGTGAAAAAATATTATTTTCTATATATTTGGAGGGGGTCAAATAAATAAATATATAATTTGCCATGTGGGTCAAATCAAATAATTTGATTTGGATTCGAGTCGCCGATAAATAAATAATTTGCAATTCTAATTATTAATTTCTGAATTTGAATCTCGGCTGGGTATACTCAAGTCAAATGAAAAAATATATCGAGTTCATATCGTGGCAGTGATACCTCGTATTATAGCTTGATGGATGGCGAGTACCCTTTAGGATGTGGGGAGATAACACTTTGTGCCTTTTAAAATCGAAGAGGGGAAGGGAAAGGGAAGAGGGAAGTTCGACGCTCAAAAGGCGCGATCAATGTCCCTTCGTTGTGGCGGGCGTCCCACTGGCAGTGGCGCGATCGCCATGGAGTGCTCCATTTCATCGCGTATACAAATATCAAGTGTGCCTTTTAAAAATTTCTTAAAGGTAAACTTGCAATTTGTATGCCCTCCCACCTTGGGCAGCAGCTTCGGGCGATCAGCCAATGCCTGGTCTCGAAAAATCGACGAGCCAATGCCTATTCTCCAAATATCGAGCAGCCAATGCCTAGTCTCCAAATATCGAGCAGCCAATGCCTAGTCTCCTTTGATGCGGATCAATCGATGACGCGCAAGCAACAAGCACGGTGCTGCCTTCGTCAAACACAACCCTAGCAGTAATTAATATCGACCTATATTCGCCATTGCATGGCTGCTACGTCCAGAAATGTATGGGATGTGGCAGCAAT